ATGTTTTTTTTGGACATTTTCAAGAGTTATATGAGTTTTTAACGCTTAAATGGATGAATGTTGTTTTGTTGTTAAGCTTGCTGAGGGTCTCCTGGTGGATATGATCTGGAGATAGGCTTCCCTTTTCACATGTACTGCCTAGCAACTGGTATTGGCTCTTGTCCAGATGGTGGGGTACTACAAGGTATGCTTGTAGCTTGCCTATATGGGCACAGCTGCTGTCTCTTTTTGGGTAAGGTAGGGGGAGAAAGCTCCCACCCCTGGGGGAAGAGTGAGGCCAAAAGGACCAAAGACAGCAACAATTTATAAAAGCAGAGACAGAAACCACCAATCAAAAACAAAAATAAAATTGTGATTGACATTGTTCTCTGGCCTTTGTTGTACAAAGGGTCCCACCTAGGTTAACTATTTGAACTGGTTCCCAGGGTCAAAATGTCATAAGAAGCAGCGTGCAGGTTTCCTCTCTGTGCTGTTGGAAAACTGTGGGTGCAATGCTGGACCCTTTTGGGGGGGTTGTTCCCGCCCACCTGAAGGTGTCTGGCCTGTGCAGTGAGGGTAGAATTGGGGGGTGATGAGGAGAGATATGTGAAAAATGAAAAGTGAAAGATGGAAAATCAGTCACACCTCTCCCTTCAGAAGCACTGCTCTGTAGCTTCTAGCGCTAGGTCGCTGCCTCTGTTTGGCTGTGGCCCCGCCCTCCAGCCTGAGGACTTCTGGCTGCCGGCAACCGTGGCTGGATCGATTCAGAAATCACCGTATTTTGCTTCCACCAGCAGATTTCTTCTCACTGGGGGGTGAGGAACTGGCACCCAGAACTGTTGTTGTTAAGACCCAAGTGAGTTGGTTCTGACTCACAGCAACCCTGTATAAGATTTCCAAGGAGCAGCTGGTGAGTTTGAACTGCCGACCTTGAGGTCTAGTGCAACACTCCAACAGCTGATCTTTTGACAAAGAGCTGAGACACATTAAATGGGGAAAAGATAGTCTCTTTACCAAATGATGCTGCTAAAATTAGATACCAAATTGTAGAAGATAAAAACAGGGCCCTTAGCTCACGTAATATACAAAAACAATCTTAAGATTAACCAACCAAATGTGAAACCTAGAACTATGAAGCTTATCATTGAAAAAATAGGGGCAAATTTAGGGGCTATGCTATAAGGCAAAATACACCACCAAACAAAACTGAAAACACACAAACAGCAAAAGACAAACTAGATGATGGGAACCTCATAAAAATTAGACACCTACAAGCATAAAAAAAGTCACCAAAAGAATAAAAAGAGAACCCACAGAGTGGGAAACAGGTTTTGGCAATGCCACACTAGACAAGGGACTAATCTCTAAAATGTATAGACAATTTCAACACCTCAATAAGTTTAAAAAAACAGACAGAGGACATGAACACCAAGGAAGACTTTCAGGTAGCCAATAGACAAATGAAGAAATGCTCATGAGCACTGACCACTGCTGTTATTAAGTGCTGTTGAGTTGGTTCTGACCCATAAAGACTCTGTATAGGGTTTCCAAGGAGCGGCTGGTGAGCTTGAACCTCTGACTTTGTGATTCAAACTGACCTTGCAGTTCAGCTCATTAGCCCATGGAGCCACACCAAAACACCAGATGCAAATCAAAACAACAGTGTGTATCATCTCAACTCAGCATTAATAGCAAAGTTAAAAAAAAAACTAAAAAAAAAATCCTAGTAAGGGTGTGGAGAGACTGGATCCCTCATACACTGCTGGTAAAACTGAAAAACGATACAGCCACTGTGGAAAACAGTATGACACTTGAACAAAAAGTTAGGAATAGAAATGCCATATGACCCAGCAATTCCTCTCCATGTTATATATACTAGAAAAATAAGAGTCAGGACACAAATAAGAAATAAGAGCTATGTTCATTTTGGCAGTATTCACAATAGGAAAAAGATAGAAACAGCCTAATGCCAATCAAGGGAAGAATGAATAAACAAACATTGATACATATGCACAACGAAATACTATGCATTGTTAAAGAATAATAATGAATCTGTGAAACACTTCATAACATGGGTGAACCTGTTGTTGTTGTTAGGTGCCATCAAGTCAGCACCAACTCTTAGCGACCCTATGCACAGCAGAACGAAATGCTGCCCAATCCTGGGCCAACTTCACTACTGTTGCCATGCTTGAGTTCATTGATGCTGCCACTTCAGTCAATCACAAAAGTACATATATTATAGAAACCACTATTGTACAAAGTCAAGAAAAGGTTTTCACACTAAAAGAAACATACTTTGGTGGTTACAAGTGGTGGGAGGCCAAGGGAGGGTTAACTTGGGTGAAGGGAAGGCAGTATACAATAAGAGGGAGGACAGCAAAATGAGTAGTTTGGGCATCCTTCAGGGACTTACACTGTGCTCATTTTCAATGTTCTTTGAGTTTAGGGAACAAAAAGAAATTTGAAGGGACAAGATCAGGGCTTGGAAGGTGAATGGGTAAGGTTTTCCAGAGAAATTCTCATGGGATAACCTTGGCTATCCTTGAAGAAAGGGTAGGAAATTGTCATGATGTGGGGAAACACTCCTCAGCACAACTTTACTGGCCTTTTTCTCACCATTGCAGTTTTCAATTTTCTTAAAACTTGTAAGCCCTTGGTTGGTCTGAACTGTGGTGAGACCTGGCGACTCCTAAGCCCAAGGACAAGGACATAGCCAAAGAGGGCTACAGCTGAGAGTGAAGCGTCCAGCTGATATGAAGTAAAGGGAGACGCACAAGAATGGCCAAACTTGTAGACAGCATTAATTCAACCGAGTCTCGATGGCGTGATGATCAGAACTCAACTAGAGAAAGATAAAAAACAATTTTTGATAAAGGAAACAAGTGTAAATTCCTACAATTTTATGAACTTGACCTATATGTATGAATGTAGTAGTTCAAAATACCAACTGAGAGGGAAGGAGTCTTCACATCAAGCATCAATCCTATCCCATTTGTATACAGGGTGGATAAGGATGGGCAATTTAGACATTGGCTACCTAAAATTGGGGGAAGAGGGGAGATATAAAGGCACAAAGTGACTGGCTTACAAGTTTTCAAGAGGGAGTTTAGTTTCAGAGTGTATCAGGGGAAGGTAGACTCCCCACTGAACAGTTTTCCTCTTGTCTAGGTGGGTCTGGTGAAAGGAGATGGGGATAAGATTCTTATGACTCAATAGCGAGTAATTATTATCATGACAAATTGTGTATGTCACAACTGTAAACGTAGAAGTTTTGTAACAAAAAGGGGAGAGGAGTTAATCTTACAGTCCTAGGAACAGAGGACCCTAGGACCATCAAGGGAGAAGAGCACAAGCGGAATGTGGGACCCTATTAAGAGAAGAAGCGACACCAGATATGGGCATAGAGATGGGGACATGGAGAGAGGTAGCAGCTGAGGACTCTAGACTCATGGAAAGAGAAAGACTGAGTGCTGGCAGCCAGGAGACAGGCTTACAGAATGTGCCCTTTGGTTGTTTGTTGTTGTTGTTGTTTTGTGCCGTGGAGTCAGTTCTGACTTATAGTGACCCTGTACAGGGTTTCCAAGGCTGTAAATCTTTAAGGGAGCAGAAAGTCTCATCTTTCTTCAGCAGAACAGCTGGTAGTTTCAAACTGCCAACCTTGAGGTCAGCAGCCCGATTCATAACCACTATGCTACCAGAGCTCCTTTGGTTGTTTATATGACTATAAATAAATTCCTGAGTGTTTTTGTGTACACCCCTTTCCCCCCCCCCACAAAAAAAAAACCCAGAGGGAATAGAAGCAAATACTGTTGAATGATGATGCACAGAGATTGTAATTATTGCAATGAAACGATGAGTGTAAAACTGATGTTCTCCCATATAAAAATGATCACTCAATTCACAATAAAAACTTAAAAAACAAAAAATCAATTTTCATAGGATAAAACAAAACAAAATTTATAAGCCCTTTAAACATCCTGTGTAATTTGAGAAAATCTATCAAGATTACCCAGTTTGTAATCACAAACAGTTACCAGGACCTTCTGAGCTGACTTCTTTTCCTTGAATTTAACTGACTCAGCACATCCCCTAGGAAGACACTGTTTAGATTGGACCTTTCTCTTTTTTTTTTTTAAAGTACCCAAAGGACACTTAGACAAATGTATTACTGAGAGAACTTGTCTGTAGTCATCCACGAATTGCAGAGTATGTTTAAACATATTTTGTTTGGAATAAACCTGTGCATGTCTCAACTGGAATCCTAGTAGCAATAGTTTTTGACTTAGCCTTGCACAATATTTTGTTTTTTTAAAGAAAATGCTATTTCACAATTAACACAATACTTTATAACATAACTTTTATATACACTGTTGTTGCTGTTATTAAGTGTCATCCTGTCAGTTCTGACTCATAGCAACCCTGAATAGGGTTTCTGAGGAGTGGCTGGTGAGTTTGAACCTCCGATCTTGCAGTTTACCAACCTTGAGGTTGAGTGCTTATCCTATGGCAGCACACCACGATAACTAATAATCATTTAAAATATTCTTTGAGTACCTGATCAATCAAGTTAATTCTTACTATTTTTTACTGTTTATTTCTATTGCTAGTTTTATTTCTCCAAATAAATACAATTTCCTATCGTCTCTATTTCTTTTCCTATCTCTCTGGCCTCATATTGTTCACTTTATCCTTTCATCTGTCAATATTCTTTCTGCATATGATTAATTCTTGAACCTACTGATCTATCTTTAAAGACAGGATAGCTAAAGTGGAACTTTTACTTCATCCTATTTCATTACTTTTGTCCAAAGTCATTTCTTCAAGACCTGATTTTAATTCTTCCAATCTTGCAGGCTAGCTAACTTGTAAAGCTACCCTAATACTTAAATTGAGCATATTCAGCAGTTTAGGACATCTTTAGTTACAAGTAAGAGTTTTTAATTACAAGTAGCTGCACAGGGTCCTTCAGATCGGTGCCCAGAGAATCTGATGAATTTAACTTTCTTAGCACTACTTACCTCTGCAATCAAGTCGTGTAGCTCTCCTTCACTAGGGCAGCATCCTAATGACCTGATAATCGTTCCAATCTCTCTGGGGGGGGAAAAAAAGTTGCCAATAGATTAGAGCATAAACTCTGAAAAGGCATTTATGCTCTAATCTGAAGTCTCTCTCAATTATTTCAAAGCAGGAATTGATGGAATATAATTTAGCAAATAAAGTCACTCGGTAAATAGTTTCATGATCATAAAACACTCTCTGGGGAAAAGAAGAGGTAGACAAATGAACCAAAGAGAAAAGAAAGAAGTGTTTTCATTAACTGTCATATTCAAGTCATGCCCTGAATCAAAATAAAAAGTTCTAGAAAGGTGAAAATAGAAGGAAAAGGAAAAAAAGAAGAAGCAAAGAAATTAAAAAAAAAAAAAGGAAGTTTTGCCTGGACCAAAATAAAAAGTTCTGAAGAAAAAAATAGAGGTAGTATCCAATCTGTCTTGGCAGCGCTGATGAAAGGAGATGGGGATAGGTCTCTTGTGGTACAATAGTGAATAATTGCTATCAGGACTGACTGTGAGGGTTGGAAATGTAAAGGTAGACAATTTGTAGCAAAAGGAGGGGAGAGGCTGACTTTGCAGCCCAGGAGGGGGGGTCCCTGGAAGAAGAGTGGAGTGTGGGACCCAACCCAGAGAAGCAGTGACGCCAGAGATGGAGGCAGAGATGATGATGTGGAGAGATGGAGCAGCTGGGGACTCTAGGCCCAGAGAGGGAGAAGGGCTGTGTGCTGATGACCAAGGGGCAGGCTTGCGGGGTACACCCTTTGGTTGTTTAATGATGCATGGAGGGGACTGTAATCATGGCAATGAAATTATATATGATAGGATGAATGTAAAATAATGTTCTCCCATGTAAACTATCACACAATTCACAATAAAAACTTAAAAAAACAGAAGAAAAAAAATAGAAGGGAAAAAAAATAAGAGGAAATAAAGAAAAATATGTTAGTAACTTACTAATGGATTTTAAGTGTAACTTAATTCTACTGAAGCTCAGTTGCCACTTCTGTATTAGAAGGATGATAATGCCTTCCCCAGAGGTCCATGGTGAAGTTTACATGTTTTAGTGTCAGAGTACTTAAAAGCATCAGATGGTTAGGATTTAGCTTAAAGATGCTACTTGGGCATGTTAACTATCTAATCAAATTGACTACATCTTTGGGGATGGAGAGTGGAGAAGCTCAATATCATCAGCCAAAACAAAGCCAAGAACCTACCATGGAACAGACCATCATCAATCACTTATATGCAATTTCAGGCGGAAACTGAAGAATATAAAAACAAGTCCACAAGAGCCAAAATACGACCTTAAATATATCCCATCTTAATTCAGAGACCATCGCAAGCAAAGATTTGATGCACTAGACACTAATGATTGAAGATAAATGGAGTTGAGGGATGATATCAAGAATATCATCCATGACAAAGGTGAAATGTAATCAAAAAGACAAAAATTGATGAAACTTGCTCCTGAATGTAGAGAAGCTAAAGCAATTGGAAGAAATGATGAAGTAGAAGAAGTGAACAGAAAATTTCAAAAGGCAGCTTGAGAAGACACAGTAAAGTATTATAATGAACTGTGCAAAGATCTGCAGTTAGAACACAGGGAAGATCTTACATACTCAGCATTTCACAAGTTGAAAGCAGTGAAGAAAAAAATTTTAAGTCTTGGGTTTCAATATTGAAGGATTCTATGGACAAGAGATTATTTATAAATAAAATAAATAAATAAAAGCAGATGGCAGAGAGAACAAACAAAATGGCAGATTGGGTGGCAGTGCAGTAAAGGAGCTCCGCCAGCAACAACACAGAATACCTGACCAAGCAGGCTCAGGGGATGGTCCCAGAACTCTGAACCACATAAAAAGGAATATTTAGAAGGTTGGAAGGCTTACAGCTGGGGGAAATTGTGGCAGAAGCAAGAAATCCATTGCTTTCTAGTTTGAGACACTCAGCTGCTCGAGGAGCCGCAATCTTGGGTGAGACCAAGAGGGGGAAAGATCGGAGCGCCACAGACGCCTGGCAGAACCGCTGAGATAAAGGTATGGACATTCTTCTCTTTTGGTAGCTTTTCATTGGTCCCTTGCTGCCTTTGAACCTACATTCTGGTGACTATAGAGGTGCCTGAGCCAGTGGGCACCCCAGCCCCACCATCGGAGGGTTCTATTATGTATGCACACAGATCTCCTTGAAATTTAAAGAGACAGTTTCCAATTAAAACCAAATGGCCAAAGCTGGCCCTGAACTGTTTACAACTAGAAACAAGGCCTTAATGGGGTTGTGGAGCGGGACAAGCAGACAAAAAAGGAAATAGGCCGAAAATTAAATCCTAAGTTACGTTAAAACGACCAACAGTGGCATCTAGAAATTTCTTAAGAAAAAGAGTGAAAAGAGAAGCCCATTTCCTGATCACATCTACCTGGAGGCAATCAGAAA